ATGTCTGCTAAGCTTCCCCCCCCCACCACCCCCCCCCCTACCTTCATGGAAGATTGTGTGCGATTTTCAGGTGTAGATTATAATGCATCTTTGTAGCCTACGTTCCAAAGAGTAAAAAGGAGGGACTTCAAATGTTCCAGTAATTTAGGTGCTTGACACTTCCCCAATATCATGAGATGTCACTTACTTTTAAGTCTCTGGTGCGGTACTCTTAGCAAAAGCCTTACTAAAATTCAAATAAACAATATCAACAGCCTCAAAAGCTTTACAGAATTAAGTTAGTAAATTAGTTAAGAAGGAACGGCCCCTCGTGAATCCGTACTGAGTATCATAGATCAAATTATGCTCATCGAGATGGCTTCTTATAATATCAGCTATAATTGACTAGTAATTTGTCTACAATGGAGGTCAGGCTTATTGGGCGGTAATTTTACGGTAACGATTTATTATCTGTTTAAAATTTAAAATGATTACATTAGCCTTTTTCCACATACTCAGAAAAAATAATTGTTTGGAAGAGATGTTAAAAAGTGGATGTAGCTTCTGATATGTGGAAGATGGCTAATGTAATTCCAATTTTTAAAGCAGGGAATAAGTCGTTACCGTCAAATTACCGCCAAATAAGCCTGGCTTCAAAAGTAGGCTAATTACTAGTCGATTATAGCTAATAATTGTAAGAAGCCATCTTGATGAGCATAATTTGATCTATGATATTCGGCATGGCTGGAGTTTGTTCCATTCTTCCACATTTTTTTTTCATTGCTATCAGTGCTTTCATATTTTCTAAATTTATCAATATTTTATCCATTGCACACAAAACTAATAAATATTGGCTATTGAATTATGTTTAGCGTCGTGTAGAATCTAACACCTGGGTAGGTGGTCAGGTCAGGTCAGGTCAGGTCAGGTCAGGTCACGTAAAGTCGAGTGAGATACGGAGGGGAGGGGGAAGTGTGTTCAGTTTCGTTCCTACTTTTCCCTTCATTAAGTTATTAGTGTGCAGATTTATGACTTGTCCCTCGGGTATCTTCCATATATATATTATCAGGCATCTCTCCTTTGTTACAGAGTAGATTCCAAGTAATTAGAGGCGTTCCCAGTAGTTTAAACGCTTTGTTGGCTCCTCGAACAGTAAACAGTATAAATGTATCGTTTCCATTTGGGATCTCTCTCCTGCCTTGAACTGAACAATCATCACTAAATGTATAAACAAGAAAGAGCAAGTAATGTAAGTAGTGTCATGTTTGGCATTTTTTTCTAGTATTGAAGGTTCATATTATCCACTGCCATAAGTGGCATTTACTTTATTGTGTTCTGATAGGTCTTTTGACGTTATTAACATTATTACACCAAGTCTTTTATTCTCTTAAATTATCTTGTTCTGTATTCATTGTTCCTTTTTAATTCATTATCTGAGTAGTTGGAATTTATTGCTGTTGAAACTTGATAATTTTTCTATTAAGTGTGAGATTGCTTATTTGCTTCCACATTTTCATTGTTATACCAAGGCGTCCTAAATGTTTATTTTGTGTACATATTTAAAAACAAAACACTTTTTTAAACTCGTTCACAGTTTGAATGAGAGGCTTTTTTTTGGCTTTGCTAAAGTAGATTTTACTCTGTATAGACTACCACTGTGTTGATGTTTTTTAAATTATTGTTGTACGATGTTACATCTCTAGCAGGGACCCAGTTGTTGTAACAATTGCAAGCTCTCGAGCATAACATTAATAGGGATAAAGAAAGAATGGCTTGTAGATGGTATTAGCGTAAAACAACGACTAAAGTTAGTGGGAAGAATTAATAAGCGAATTTGTGGATGTTGAGGTGGGGGAGTACAAACTTTGTTCATGTTGCCTGTAGGGTGATTATATTTCACATGTCAACAGTAATAAATTACGCCGTGGCTGCACGTCATGAAATACGCTTATTAACCAGACTATATTAGGACAAAGTTCGTGCTGTATAAAAAATTGTATCACGGAGGGAAGCCGTTGTAAACATTTAATCATTTGTCCTTACTAATGATAGTTTCTTCCGTGTTGTCGGCAGTACGCATGTGGTCAGTTATATTGTTCTTCATTGAGTCATCCGTGTATGTTTCTCTGAGTATCGGTTGCAAGTGTAATTAGTACCTTGTTTAGGAGGTTCGTATTACAATTAAACTTATATATTGAGTTGTAACCTTGACTTGATAATGTCCAGAACCTCCCCCGCAGGCAAGTACATTTTCATAAAAAACTTAGTTATGTATTAGGAGGCTCGTCAAAGTTTAGGGAAGTTTCCATTCTGGATTTTGAGTCTCAGGAGTTTTACTGGGAGTTCATGCTCCTGGTGTTCTTAACATTTATGGAAATAAAAGTGCAGGCGTTTATATCAATTGTGATAAATAGTTATCCTGAGTATCTCTCACTTACTGCTAGTTTGTTGTAAGTATATTCCTGGTTTGCTCTTTTACCTGTCTAAATTTTTGAGGTTGTCATTTTTTTTTTTTGGGGATCATCGCCGTGAGGACTTGTGAAAAAGTGGCGGATCAGTGTTAGCAGCTGAGATGAGTGAGCACACTCTGGTGCGGGGGTGTAGGAATTGTGGTGTAGAGGGGACACTGGGCTATTTGAGGGACTTATGTAATGGAATAGTCAGGGGTTGTGTGGCGGTGGTGGTGCTGGGAAAATGATAGGGGTGGGGGGGGTAAGAAAGAGAGAGAAAAAGCAAAGGGAATAGAGAAAGAAAGAAAGAACCAGAAACCTCGTTCAAAGAAAGAGAAAGAAAGAAAGCGAAACGAAAAAAAAGACAAGAGCAGAGAAAGAAAGAGTAAGAAAGACAAGAGAAGAAAGCGAAAGAAAGAGAAACGAAAGGAGAAAGAAAGAAGAAAGAATAGCAAGAAGCAAAGAAAAACTCCGACAGACGAAAGATAAAGAAGAAAGAAAGAGAAGATAATGAGAAGAAAGCGAAAGACGAGAAAGAACGAGAAATAACAGTGAATGCAAGAGAAAGAAAGAGAGATCACCGAGAGAGAAAGAGAAAGAGAAAGAGAGAGGAAAGAGAGTAGCGAAAAAGAGAGACAAAAGAGAGACAAAGAGAACAGCGCAGCAAAATAGAGAGAAACATGAGAGCAGAACCGCGAGAGAAAAAGAGGAGAAAAAAAAGAGAAAAAAAAGAGAAAAAAGAGAACAAGCGAAAAAAGAGAAAAGAGAAAAAAGAAGCTAAAACGAGAAAACAAAAAGAGAAAACAGAGAGACACGCAGAGATTTTTTAACCCTACTCTCCCATCTCTACTCCACCTCATCCCACTATTACCCCTCTCTCCCCCTTCTCTTCCCCCTCTCTCCCCTCTCTCCCCCTCTCATCTCCCTCTCTCTCCCTCTCTCTCCCTCCTCTCCACCTCTCTCCCCTCCATCCCCCCCTCTCCACACTCTCCCCACTCTATCCCCCTCTCCCCCACCCCCCTCTCTCTCCCTCTCTCTCCCTCTACTCTCACCCTCTCTCACCCCCCCCCCTCTCCCCCCCTCTCCCCCCCTCTCACCCCCTCTCCCCCCTTCCCCCCTCTACCCCTCTCACCCTCTCCCCCCCTCTCCCCTCTCTCCCCTCTCTCCCCTCTCTCCCCTCTCTCCCCCTCTCGTTCTCCCCCTCTCTCCCCCTCTTCCCCCTCTCTCCCACTCTCTCCCCCTCTTCCCCCTTCTCACCCTCTCTCACCCGCTTCCCCCTCTCTCTCCATCTATTCTCCCTCTCTCTCCCATCTCTCCCCCTCTCTCCCCTCTCTCCCCCTCTTCTCCCCCTCTCCCCCCTCCTCTAACACCCTCTCTCCCCTCTCTCCCCCTCTATCTCCCCGGATCTCTCTCTATAATCTATATATCTGGGAAGGACGGGCGGGTTAGGGGTCGTCATCGAACAATAAGTTGGAGAGAGTGGGGTGTAAAGGAGTTTTGTGTGGAGAAAGGCTTGGAATTCCCAGCAAGCGTGCGTGAGATGTTAGATAGGAGTGAATCGGAGACGAATGTTACTTTGGGACCTGACGATCTGTTGAGTGTGGCCAGGGTAATATTTAGTGAAGGGATTCGGGGAAAACGGTTATTTTCATATTGTCTTTTTTTTATGTCCATTATTATTCTTATATATTCATGGACTTGGAGTCCTGGAAATGGGAAGTACCAATGCCTGACACTTTAAAGGAGGGGTTTGGGAGATTGGCAGTTTGTGGAGGGTTATGTTTGTATCATGTTACGTATATGCTTCTAAACTGTTGTATCATGAGCAATCTGCAAAAACAGTGATAATGTGGAGTGTGGTGAAAGTGTTGTAAATATGAATTATTTCTCTTTTGGGGATTTTCTTTATTTTTTTGGGTCACCCTGCCTCGGTGGAGACGGCCGACTTGTTGAAAAAATATATATATATAAATATATAGAGATATATATATATACTATATTTATATTATTTATATATATATATTTATATATATATATATTATATATAAATACACACACACAACACACCACCACAACAACACAACACACACACGTATGTACGCGTGACGAATAGGGAAAACTTGCTGTTTTGGCTTAAATAGAAACACATTTCTTGCCGAATAAGGCAAGCGAAAATTTGTGTATGCAGTAATTTCGCAAAAAAAAAAAATTATGAAGCTAACAAATATAGTTTGTTTATTATTAACTTATTGTAAACTTGTCTAAAATATATTTAATTGGATTAGGCTGAATTAAATTGAGCTTGTTATAATAAGGTTAGGTAAGTTTTCTAATTATTCTGGTACAAAATTATTAATTTTTACATATAAAAAAAAATATCTTTAAACGTATAAGAGAAAATTTAAGAAAGGACTTAATTGACCAATTTTATCTATTCAGCACGACATATATATGCATGCTTGCTCGCGCCAGCCTGGGCGAAGCCATTTTTGAATTTCCCGATTAACCCATTAACGTACTGCTCACCTTTTGAAGCTAACTTTTGAGTTAATAATCTGTGGTGTGTTGCAGTTTGGAAGAGACGCGGGAGGAGCTTGAGGAATTCCAGAGCGGGAGCCGGGAGCTGGAGGCTGAGCTAGAGGCCCAGCTGGAGCAGACAGAGACCCGCTGCTCAGAGTACCAGTCACAACTCAATCGCCTTGCCCTCGAGAACGACTCCCTTAAGGTAAGTCATGTTTCAGCGCCTTCCCCTAACAATACGCCCTTCGTGTTAGTTTCCCCTGCGTTTATTTCTGATGTTTTCATGCGTATAATTTTAGCGTTTCATCTCGTTTTCTTTTGTTTCCATGCATTAATTTTTGGCTTTTCCATTCTTTTATTCCTGGCGCTTCAATGCATTTATTTCCGGCGTTTCCATGCTGTTATTTTTGGCATTTAATTTGTCCCTGCTTAATATTTACAGCCACCGCCTCCTTCAAAATACTTGAGTTTACAAGAGTTTACTGTGAGTAACATACAAAAATAAATACTGGTACTTGTTTTAGATGTAATTATTTTTAACAAAATTATCATACGCCAGTAAAAAAAATCGTCAGTGGAGTCTGGCAGCGGGGCATACACTGGTGTTGCTTAGTTTGTTGAAAATCTTACGCCTTCTAGTGAGAGGACAAGATTTCTGTTTGTAAACACTGCCAATGATATCGTAAGTAAACCATGCATGTACGCATATAATGATTATATCTTAATATGAGGTGATACTGTATACAACCCTCTGTATAAACTCCTCTCGCGTGCCCTAAGTACACTGTGGAGGAGGAGCTTGGACATGGGTGAAATTCCAGTCACTTAAAACAACGGATATAGCCCCACCCCATAAAGGTGGCAGCAAAGCATTAGCTAAGAACTATAGACCAATAGCTCTGACATCCCACATAAAAATCTTTGAAAGAGTGCTAAGAAGCAGAATTGCAAATCACCTGGATTCCCAAAATTTGCACAATCCAGGGCAACATGGGATCAGGGCAGGTCGCTCCTGCCTCTCACAACTACTGAATCACTATGATATGGCCTTGGATTCACTGGAAGAAAATCAGAATGCAGATGTAATATACACAGACTTTGCAAAAGCGTTTGACAAATGTGATCATGGCGTAATAGCGCACAAAATACGTGATAAAGGAATAACTGGAAAAGTGGGGAGATGGATCTTCAACTTCCTAACAAATCGAACACAGAGTAGTGGTCAACAGAGTTAAATCGGAGGCTGCCCTAGTGAAGAGCTCTGTTCCACAAGCACAGTATCGCCCCCATCTTATTCCTCATCCTCATATCAAAACATAGACAGAGATAACACCACAGCACCGTATCATCCTTTGCGGATGATACTAGGATCTGCATGAGGCTGTCATCTGCTGAGGACGCGTTAACCTCCAAGAAGATATAAACAAAGTTTTCCAGTGGCAACGGTAAACAAATGATCAATGAGGACAAATTCCAACTACTCCGTTATGGAAAACTGGAGGAGATAATAACTAGAACACAGTATACCACAAACTGGCCATACAATAGAGCGGAAAAATAATGTAAGGGACCTGGGAGTAGTAATGTGTGAGGATCTCACTTTCAAGGATCACAACAGTGCCACGATCGCACGTGCAAAGAAAATGATAGGATGGATAATGAGAACGTTCAAAACGAGAGATGCCAAGCCAGTGATGATCCTTTTCAAATCACTTGTTCTCTCTAGGCTGGAATACTGCTGTACACTAACATCTCAATTCAAAGCAGGTGAAATTGCAGATCTTGAGAGCGTACAGAGATCCTTTACTGCACGTATAAGTTCTGTCAAGCACCTTAACTACTGGGAACGCTTGGAAGCACTTGACTTGTACTCGTTGGAACGCAGGAGAGAGAGCGCGAGAGAGAGCGCGCGCGCGCGAGAGAGAGAGAGAGAGAGAGAGAGAGCGCGCGCGAGAGAGAGAGCGCGCGCACAAGAGCGCGCGCCTCGCGCGCGCGCGCTCTCGCTGTCTCTCGCTCTCGCTGTCTCGCTCTCTCTCGCTGTCTCTCGCTCTCGCTCGCTCTCTCGCGCGCTCTCTCGCTCTCTCTCGCTCTCTCGCGTGCGCGAGAGAGCGAAAGAGCGAGAGAGCGAGAGAGAGAGCGAGAGAGAGAGCGAGAGAGAGCGAGAGAGCGCGAGCGCGAGAGAGCGAGCGCGCGCGAGAGAGAGCGAGAGAGAGCGAGCGAGAGCGAGAGAGAGCGAGAGAGCGCGAGAGAGCGAGAGAGAGAGAGAGAGAGCGAGCGCGAGAGAGAGCGAGAGAGAGCGAGAGAGCGAGAGAGCGAGCGAGAGAGAGAGAGAGCGAGAGCGCGAGAGCGAGAGCGCGAGTGCGAGAGCGCGAGTGCGAGAGCGAGAGCGCGAGAGTGCGAGAGCGCGAGAGTGCGAGAGCGCGAGAGTGCGAGAGCGAGAGAGTGCGAGAGCGAGAGCGCGAGAGTGCGAGAGCGCGAGTGCGAGAGCGAGAGAGCGCGAGAGAGAGCGAGAGAGAGCGAGAGAGCGAGAGCGAGAGTGAGTGAGAGAGAGAGAGCGCGCGCGCGCGAGAGAGAGAGAGAGAGAGAGAGAGAGAGAGAGAGAGAGAGAGAGAGAGAGTGAATGAATCTACACCTGGAAAATCCTGGAAAGAATGGTCCCGAATCTGCACACAGAAATCACTCCCTACGAAAGTAAAAGACTGGGCTGGCGATTCAAAATGCCCCCAATTAAAAGTAGGGGCGCCATTAGTACACTAAGAGAAAACACCATAAGTTTCCGGGGCCCAAGGCTGTTCAACAGCCTCCCATCAAGCATTAGGGGAATTACCAATAAACCCCTGGCTGCCTTCAAGAGAGCTGGACAGATACCTTAAGTCAGTGCCTGATCAGCCGGACTGTGGCTCGTACGTTGGACTGCGTGCGGCCAGCAGTAACAGCCTGGTTGATCAGGCCCTGATCCACCGGGAGGCCTGGTCATGGACCGGGCCGCGGGGGGCGTTGATCCCCGGAATAACCTCCAGGTAACACGTGTAGGTATGAAAATGGACGGAGATAGGGACAGAGGTTCTGTCTGTGACGGGCATTATGTTCTGCTATTGTGCTACCGTAGTTTTAGTATACCTGTACTAACGTCACTACTGTAACAGGTAGTACCGGCCGCCACTGTCTGTGACGCTGTTGTCCTCTCATATACCATCAGTTTTCTTGCCAGATCAACCAGGCTGTGATGGATATGTGGGACAGCTGGCCTCCAGCAGCAACAGCCTGGTTGACCAGGCAAGTACCAGACGAGTAGAGAAACTCGAAACTTCAAAGGTTGGAACATCTAATTTTCGTAGCCTTTAAAGTCATTAAGTCTTATGCCAAGATGTCATAATGAACGACTGTCAGTGAATGAACAGAAGAATTGATTGGGCTCAGACCTATTAAACCAGTGTAGTTAAATGGCACAGCGTAGGGCTTATCCCTCCCCCCATCCACACGACCTCTGTTAGTCCCTGTCTACTCTTCATTCATTGTCAGTCAGTTTTGCACCACTAATGCCTGGTTTACATTCAGATATATACAGTATACTGTAAATTGATGGGTATGCGATTTTAAGTACTGTATATAACGCACTGAGGTTGCTAAACCGGGCTGTGGTGCCTCTGAAGATTTGACCTGGGCACAAGGGGCGGTGCACCCCCCGAATCAACTTTAGGTAGACCTGATCTGTGGGTGTAATCAGTAGAGGTTGCAGTGTATGTGCACATGGTCAGTGCTTGGTTTGTGCGCACGTGTTTAGATGTGGCGCACTAGTGAATCTCTGGGTATGTTAAAGATCATGTGTTATCAGTAACTCGGAAAATATCTACTGTGACGCCTTGGAAATATAAACACTTAAGCAGTATAATGTGGTCCTTTATTTACAACGTTTCGCCCACGCAGTGGGCTTAATCAAGTCACACACAGATCTTCCTGAGTGAAAGGTACGTAAGTATTTGTAGGATGGCCTTCAGGTGGACAATGCTGCATGTAACAATCTTCCGAGTAGGATGATAGTATAGAACCTTGGGTAGCTTTAAAAAGAGATTGAATAAGTATATGAGTAGACTTTCTGCAGTGTTCTTCCACAACAACAACTTCAACCAGAACAACGGCTTCTATAACATAGCTGAACCCCTTGCCAAGAAACTTCATCGCTATCCCACATAAGAACATAAGAATGGAATTTAACATCATTGTCTCGAGAATGTTACTAAGACGAGCACAGATCATAGAGGCAAAGATCTGAATTAACGCTTCCATTGCTACTCTCTTGAGCTCTTGCGTGGAACCCTGCAACTACATCCAATCATTATACAAGGTTTACAAATATTTTTAAATGTTTTGTTTAGCATCGTCAGTTTTCCATTTAAATTTTTTTTATGATAGCGGTCTATTGGAGCTGGAACAGAGGTACAAAACAGTGGAAAGCAGGGGCAGGCACTGTGGACAAAATACAACACTTATCAACATCCCTGGTCCCTAGACTATTCAACGTCTTACCAGAAGATACCAGAAACACTGCTGGGACAAGTGTAGAAGTCTAGAGGAAACTGGACAAGTATTTCCACCAGGTGCCGGATTAACCAGGCCGTAATGGATATGTGGGCCAGTGAGCTGCATGCAGCAACAACCTGATTGACCAGGCAACCACCAGACGAACCTGACCCAATCATAAAAATTCAGATTGCATCTTGCAAACCTGGCCAGTTGTCACACCCACACCTCCATCAATAAAATAAACTATGTAAAATACTCCACGCAGATCATAAACAAAACGGCAAAGAATGACAAAAGGATTATGATAGAAATAAATGGTATAAAATACCGACACAATGGAAATATAAACACACATGCAGTATAATGTGATCCTTTATTGACAACGTTTCACCCACACAGTGGGCTTTTTCAAGTCACACACGGATCTACCTGGGGTTGGAAGGTACGAGAGTATTTATAGTCAGAATGTTGAAGTCAGGTGGAGAATGCTGCATCTGATGATCTACCGGGTGGGGTTATAGAGTCTTGGGTAGCTTGGCAGGGGTATTGGACAAGTTGTAGACCTTCTGCAGTGTTCTATGTTCTTATGTGGGATAACGATGAAGAAGTTTCTTGGCGAGTGGTTCAGCTATGTTATAGAAGCCATTGTTCTGGTTGAAATTGTTGGTTATAGAGATAAGC